ATACAGGCAAATCTAGAACATAATACAAATACATTGTAGAAATGGTGTGATTTTTTTTTAGCTGGCCCAGGCTTGGTTGAGCCAGACTACGTGTTCTTAAGCACTACTTAAATAAATAAATTAGGGAGAGGAACTTTGTTGCATTCATGTAGTATCTTTACAGCTTGAACTGGGTATATTTCTTGCCCTTTGCTCCCACTTCATGAGTGTTTTTTGCTGGTGTTTTATGAACTGCCCTTAAAAATATGAAAAAGTAAATATTACTTCATATTAGCTGTTAGTGCTGCAACTCAAAGACAACAGTCTTTGAAAAGATCAGATTGATGTATGTACCTATTCTGTAAAAAATTATCTTTCTTGTTCTAATTTTTCTCAACTTTCTGGCTCCAATATTTCTAGCAATTTTTGCTGGTCTCACAAGCGTTCTGACAAAAGATGACTGGTGGAACCTCCTCCTGAAGGCCATATATGCCTTGTGTGACCTCTCCCGGTACAAGGAGGCAGAGCTCCTTGTGGATTCCTCACTGGAATATTACTCATTCTACGAGGATAGACAAAAGCGCAAGGAGCTGGAGTACTTTGGGCTCTCTGCCGCGATTCTGGACAAGAACTTCAGGAAAGCTTACAACTATATCAGGTGGGCTGCAGAGAAGGCAGAGTAGTCTGTGCTGTAATTGCCTCCACTGAGGCTATATTCACTCTGCTGATGATGATAAGTAGGCAGACCAATGTTTTCCAGCCTTGGCTAAGTGACAGATAGCTACTGAAACTGAAGGAGCTTTCCAATAGCCTAAGATTCCATAAATGCACAGTGCAATAGGTTGGTTGATTTGCTAGAACCATTGGTTCTGTTTTTCACTCTCTGCCTGAGTCACTGACCTTCTCTTTGAGTTTCTGTTCTTTGTTATCTTCCCTGAACTGCTGAGATTTTATTGAAGGTACAGTATATCTTATAATACATAGCATTTACTAATTTTTTGCACGCTTCTCATTCTGTAGAATCATGGTCATGGAAAATGTCAATAAGCCCCAGCTGTGGAACATTTTCAACCAAGTCACTATGCAGTCTCAGGATGTCCGTCACCATCGCTTTTGTCTCCGCCTGATGCTGAAAAATCCTGACAATCACGTGCTGTGTGTCCTCAATGGGCACAATGCCTTCGTGTCTGGCAGTTTCAAGCATGCTCTTGGTAATATCTTTCATATTCTAATATCAACAAATAGAACAAGTGAAAGTTTATAAAAAGAGAAAGATTTTTTTCATCAGAAAATTATAGGTTCACAATGCTAGTCTGGTGCTTTAATTATTCTGTACACAAATCAGAGCATTGCTGAAGGGTTTTACTAATAAAAATTAAGCTGGAACGTTTCAAGATTAGCACACATTGCAAATATAACTAACTTGCAAAGATAATTGGAAGCTAATGATGATAATAATGACAACCAGCCCAATTTAAACAGCAAATACAGCTGGTTGCATGCTTTAAGCAGGCCTTTGAAGTAAACCTGCTGCTTTCAGTCAAGTCCTCCAAATGTCACATTTAAATCCCAGCAAGGACCATGTTTGCTTTCTGTGTCTGATTGTTTTCTGCTTACATTTTTTCATGACAATCTGCATTCTTCCTTCAGAATCCAGTGGATGCTGAAAATACACAATTTTCTTCCCTGTTTTTTCCTGTGTATTTTGATGTATGTGTATTAAACTGTTTCTTTTCGTAGTTCACACTTCAAATATTTTCTTTCTTGCCCTTAGCTTCTTAAGGAATGCTTTTCACAATTAACATCTTGATTCATTTATTTGCTTTTAGGTCAGTATGTGCAAGCCTTCCGTGCAAACCCAGATGAGCCTTTGTACAGTCTTTGTATTGGCCTGACTTTCATCCACATGGCCTCTCAGAAATATGTGCTGAAAAGGCATGCTCTTCTGGTACAGGTGAGGCAGTGTGATTGTTGTTTCCTGGCTTTGTGTCTTGCAGATGGTTATGGCTGCAACACACTGTTTAAATAATTTTTCATAATTAAGATGGCATTTCTAAAGCGGGAAGTGGCAAAACATGAGCACAGATGAACGTGCTTTTGAACTGTAGTTACACCATCTGAATTTGCTCTCCTTATGGGTAAAGGTAGCTTGCTACTCACCTTGATGGTAATAGCTGCCAGCTGTTTGTGAAAATATTACTAATTTCTTGGTGGTAGTAATCTGAATTTTCTTTCAAATTTTTTTTGGCCTGCATTGCTGTAGAGTGGAATCTGCCACATGCCCTTCGTAGATATGTCTCATAAACTGCATTCTTGAATCAAATTTTACAGGCCTGGAAAGTGGGTTTTTCTCCATCTTCCTTTCCCCCTTTTAGGTGCCTCTGTCCACTCTATTTGTAGATCTCGTGAGCTCCAGTTTAGCTACCTTCAAATTATCAGCTTCCTTATTTGCGTTTTTCTTTTAATCTGCGAGATCCAGTTACAAACTATGGATTTAGTAGTCCCAAATAGAATCTTGGAAGTAATTTCCTCTACTTTACACCAAGTATTTTCATTAACTTGAAGTACCTTTTAATTCCTATAGCTGCTGAGCTCAGTCATCGCAGTATGGTGAGGATCCTGAGCTCTTCAGATTTCTGAAATTGCTGGAAGACTGTAGCTTCCTCTAATCTTGACAAAAGCTACAGGTCACCAAGTACTGTAACACAAAACCAGTTATGACAGTGTCCAACTTTAAGACATTTTGAACTTGCAAATGTTGTCCTAATTTTAATATTTTTATCCACTTCTTTTCTGTAACCAACCTGCCTTTTTTACAGGGACTGCCCTGTTTTGCTTTTATAACATTCTTGAACAATGTCCTATTTATGTTACCCTCTGGCAATGCAGTTCCCTGCTCTCTCTCTTCTCATTTCCTGCTTACTATACTCGGTGATTTTTACATCATTTCTTGCTGCTATGATAGTTAATTAGTAATTCAACCACAGTGACCTAAATTATGATCATTAGCTGCTTGTGTCTGAACTAATTCTTCATATTGAAGGAAGTACCTTCTCTGATGACTAACATAGTCCCTAGAAAGAAGGTTCTCTGTTTACAGCACAATCATCACACATCAAAATGCTAACAAAATGAAATGCACAGGAGGGGAGTAAAAAGTTGTGTGCTTGATTTCTCTTACAGGGATTCTCCTTCCTTCACCGCTACTTGGATCTGCGTGGACCATGCCAGGAGTCCTTCTACAACCTAGGCCGTGGCCTGCACCAGCTGGGATTGCTGCACCTGGCAATCCACTATTACCAAAGAGCACTTGAACTTCCACCCCTCACCTTAGAGGTACTGTAACTTTGCAAGTTATGGACAGAGAATAAAGTCAGGAAAATGTGAAGCATTCCTTAGTCATAGTTAAAAAAGGTACATAAAATCTCTGTAGTTGCATCTCCTTTAATCTCTATATTAATTCCTTGTCATTGGAAGCCCAAATCTGATTATCACCTGATAATGTATTTAAACATGTGTTAAGTTCAAAGTTGTATAAATTAGGCTGAAGCAGCAGCAAAAAGGATTGCAAACAACTTTTCCTGATTAAGTAGCTGACCTTTCTGTATATTACATGCAATGAATTATGACTGGAAGTTCGGTATACTCACCCACGCTATAAAACAGCATGCTGGAGCAAGATGGACCAGTATTAGAAATGCCTAATTGCATCTGAGACATATTTTAATTCTAATTGATCTGTATTGGATCCTAATTGACATGTCTGACATTTACAAGTCTGGTCTGTGGAATTGTTAGGTAGAAACATTGCAAGTGTGTTTAGAAAATGGGCAGTGTTGGTAAAGTAAGTGTTTAGTGGGTGTTAGTCAGCCCTGAGAGTTCAGAGCAGCAGTCTTGTGACCCTGTTAGAGATGCTGGCAGTATTCACATTCTGGTTGGAGAAACAAATACCTAGCATACAAAGACAAATTAAGGTAGTACTTTGCTGGTTTATAAGCTGGCTATTTAACTTACAGCTAATGTTTGGAGTCTGAAATTTTATAACTTTGGTGATTAACGACATGATGTGGCAGCTACTTAACGAGAGAGAGCACAAGGAATACTTTTTCTGTTTCCATACAGCTGAAAGCCTTTATTTGCCCTGAATATGTAATTTAATTCCATTGTAATGGCTACTCATGTTTCAGTTTTATACTGGTTTTGCACACTGATAACTTTTTTTAATCATTATTTTTACAGGGAATAGAAACGGATCAAACAGACTTGAGAAGAGATACTGCCTTTAACTTGTCACTCATTTACCAGAGCAGTGGAAATACCAGAATGGCTCAGAAGATGTTGTATACCTATGCAGTTGTGTGATGAGGTTTGTGCAGGTGGAATTGAACCCCTTTGGATTGACCTTTGCATTATGCAGTGCTGGGGAAGCTGGTTTTAAGTACAACTTTTCTGCAGAGGGTCAGAGACGTGGCTGGTGCTGTGTTGGGGCTTTGCGGACTTCTTCTGCCATTTGCACTGTATCACGTGTGGGTGAGAACTGGCCGTCCTGAACGCTCCCCTGATGTGCCCACGAGTGGCTGCTCTTAGCTCTTCTCCTTTGGTGCACTCTAAATATAATTTATTCAGTCCTGTATATGGAATCAAACAGTGAAAGCTGAGGCCCAGTGTGATTTGCTGAGGGCTTTTGGTGGGGAGAAAATGTATAGTGTACAGTATTTCAACTAATTACCACTGAAGTTGCTGAAGAAGCCATATTCACTGGTGTTGAGGATATTTTAATGTGCAGCATTCAGTTACAATAATGTGGAACCATCCTAGAGGATGAAGAATTCAGTATTTCAAGATCTTTAAAATATTCAGAGTTTTCTAGGAGTTCATATTCCTAGCAGTTTTGTATTTGAAGGGGATTGATCTTTTTTTATTTAAATCATTGTAACTTTTTTTCTTTCTCTGAACTTGATAATAAAAATGATGTTAATGATTAATGATGTTTTACTTATTCTCAGCTAACATACATCCTACTGAATAGGACAAACCTAAAGCCATAGGCACACATCTAATTTTAAGCAGCACAATGTAATGAGGCTCAAGTGTATTTAGGTTTGCTGGTGTGCTGAGCCACCCCTTTGTGCTCAGAGCAGCTACTGGCCTCAAGGGAGAGAGGCTCTTGCATTAGTCTGGAGTCCTACCATATAAATTACAGTTCAGGGCCAAATTTCTGGAGGAGCAGAAGGAGACAATTCCAGAGTCTCCTTGAGCTATCCCTAGGCTTCAGAGGCATGCAAGACTTTTCTCCCTACTATACAAAACAAATATCACAAATGACATGTATAAGTCTCACAGGAACAGTAGTGCCATGGGTCGCAGAGGAGGTGGTGAGCAGCTCTGCTGAAGCTGATCAGAGTGCAACACCACCTGTCCTGAAGCCAGGTTGTACTGACAATATGTACATGGAAGAACAGGCCATGATGAAGTTGAGCTGATCTTTGGTCTTGAAAGCTGTCCATGCTGTAATCATCTGCAGCATATCATGACATAAGCCTCCTGCTCTAACTACCCTTTCCCCAGTCTGTTCCACAGTAGGACAAGTTGAAAAAATTCCACTAATTCTTTCAAAGGTAAGGTGATGTGTGGTGTAACATCACACACCTCATGAATTCCTTCTATGCTCCTGAAATAGCCCAAAGCTTATGTTCTCTCATGACCCAGTTATCATCTCCCATTGTAAGCAACCAGTCCTGCCAGTTCCTCCCTGCCCCAGTCACGTCAGAATCCAGCCACAGGCACATGACTCTGTCTTCAGTAATTCACCTGAACCCTCTGCAAACTAGTCTTTGCCTGGCCTTAGTGCAAAGTTGGTGAAAGAGAAGGGATAAAAGCAAACATGTAGCCTATCAACAAATTACAAATAAAGAATAATTGTTTTGTTATAAATAGTAAAATTACTATCAGCATCACAATGCAAAGAACTTCAGTCAAGAAGACAACTTGAGAGGCCTGAGTTAATTGAAATAATCTGTTAGGGTTTAAACAAGAATTCTTTTAATCTCTAGGGGTTCTCTATAGATGGGTGCCCTGGCAGCTGGCCTCAGCAATTCACATGTATCTGTCAGATCAAGTAAAGAGCCAAATTCTTCCACACCTGGGTGCTAGCAGGGAGTCTCCTGGCAGCAGGTGATGCTCTCCCAGATCTGGGAATCACCAGTCAGATGAGCTCATTTCCTGCACAGCTCACGTGGGCCTCTCCAGGGGTGAGCTGGAGGCCTGCTCTTTACCCTGTGTGTCCAGGGAGGTATGAGGGTGAGGCTCCTTGCTTTTCCTCCTGGGAAAAGATACACTATTTTACAAAGCTGATGACTCTTTGAGAAATCTTTGTTATTACTGAACAAGAAGTTTCAGCAGTTTAATACTGGCATCTCTAAAAAGTTAATTACATGGCTGTACAAGAACTAATTATGGAGAAGGCTGAGGAATCTACCCAAAGAAGGTAAGCACGGTTTTCAGAAGGGTGTCTGTAGAGGGTGTGCACAAGGGAAGATAAACCACTGACATGGAGCTGAATGCAGAAGAAAAAAGATTAGCTGTTCGCTTTCAGATCATTGTTTGCTTAATGAATGTCAGCCAGGCATAAAGTGTGTACAAAACACCTTTTCTAAGTACAGAACAGTCCCTTAAAACTCTCCTGTACCTGTAATATTCTTTGCTGCTTCAGTATGTCTTTTGGCAAAAGGGGAGGAAATAAACTCAGCCTGAACAGGAGGTCTGTTCTCCACCCCTGAGTGTAAAGAACTAAAGAAAGTCTAGAAAACTGAAATCCTGACTTACAACAGCCTTCAAAATACCACTCAGGTAATTTTTCTGTGCTGCCCTCTTTGAAATGAATGTCCTTGCTTTTTTTGCCTCCTTTTGGGAGCTGCTCTCTTCTTGGGCCAACGTTTTTCAGAACTTGTAGCTGCAGGCTGTCAAACTTAGATGTGAACCACTGGTGAGTTGCTGCTTCTAGGCCAGTTGTGATCTAGGTAAGGTGGTGTAATTAGAACTGCAGAGAGAACAGTGATCGTATGCTGTGTTCCACATGTGAGGGGCAGGAACAGCGCACCCTTCATGTTTTTCTCCTGTACATAGGAGTAGGAGCTCTGTGATGCTCTCTTGCTCTGCTGTGAAAAAGAGTTGCCTCTCTCTTAGAGGGGTGGTGAAATCAACATGGGTCTCCAACACAGCATAAAATACAGAGGCATAGGAAAGGGGGAAAATAGATGCTGAGTGACACAAACTCCTGAGAAAATGAGGGCAGACTAACTTTACCTGACAAGTGCTATAGAAATACTCTTTTGCTATTGGGATCTCTTTCTAATCATAGAGCAGTACTTGGACTGATAAAGAAGCATGTAGGACCTGAGGCTGGGGCACCTTTATTACTTTTTTTAAATTTTACTTCATGCTGGTTCATACTCTATTAATATCTAATCCCTTAGATTTTCACACCAACCTACTACAGTAATCCATGCAAGCTATTATAGTTTAGATATTGTGAAACAGCAGTGCAAGGATGAAGTGATGCAAGGACAAATGATTCTGGGGGCAGGGGGTGTGGTGGTGGTTTTGCATGATGTCACACACAGTGACATAACAGCAGCGCAGGGGGGCAATTTACTTGGCCACAACATTTCTGTTTGGTTGGATAAGAGATATTTTGAGCCTGGTAAAAACAACAGGCTATGGGTCACAAAAGCTCTTTCTACAAACCCCACTAAATTGAAGTGATTTATAGAAAAAAAATTAAAACTTTTTCTCTTTTAGAGCATGATAAATGCCACTTAGTTGAAAGGCCACCTGTGCACCTCATTCTTCACCAGAGGACTATAGCTGAGATTGAAAGGTTTACTTGGTGCATATGCTCAATTAATATCTTGTTATCCAGCTTTTGTACTTCAGTCTTAAAGAGATGACAAAGCAGCTCAGCTTGCTTTTAGTGCGGAAACAAAACGGCATTGTTTAAAGGGGAACACAGAAGGGAAGTGACAATGTCTCTTTACCCAGAGCAACTGTTTTCTCTGAGTCTCATAGCAGAAGAAACAGGAATCACTTCTAATTTATCTTACCATAGGAATAATTCCAAGATAACAATTCATTTAGTTTTAATCTAAGTACAATGTCTTGGTCATATCCTACTGTCACTACCATCAGGACTATTGCATAAATACAGCTTTCTTGCTCCCTTATAATATCACTACACATTCTGTGCTGTCTGAAGAAAGTTGGAAGTCTTTCCACCATTGTCCCAAATTCTATGACATAGGTCACTATGAAGTACAGCTTTACTTCCTGCTTGTTTTTCATTACCAGCACAGTGCGCCTCTCTCCTTATTAATCAGTAATTTTTTAAATAAAGTTTTGTACGTGTCCAATTTTGATCCATCTATTTTATTTCAATGCCCCCTGGTGGCTCTTAGCCATTCTACTATTTTCACACATTAAACAAATTAATTATCCAAAATCCTAGAGATATATCTTGACTCCTGAAGGCAGCATGAGCAGAACTCAAGATAATTTTGAGACAAAACTCTCTTGCCACATGTTTGTCAGTACACAAATAAGTAAAGAAAAGAAATAAGCGCTTCTCTCTAGATGATGTCCCAAAGAGCTCATGTTAAACAACCTTACCTTAGATTAATAAAAGCCAAGTTTCTCCTTTGAGGTGCAAAATAGGATACTGGGAGGTACTTGGTCACAGGTCAGTTTATTGTTGCTGATAGACAGCTCTGCCAGAATCAGTTGCACCTGCTGCTGGGCACACAGGGGGAAAAAGGAATAGAAGTCACCACCTTGTAGGAAAACAAAGCAAAAAGCAACAATAACAACAAAAAGTTCTTGGTATATAAATTGCTTCAGGTATAAATTTCAATTATATGAAACACTAAAACAGATTTTAAAAAGCAAAATGTCCAATTGGCATAAATTCCTCCAAGACCAGCTTATTTTTAGGATCAGCTGCTCAAATTAGTACAATTGTCCAGATGGCCACAAGAAGGCCACTGTCCTAGAAGCACAGCCAACAGAAATGGAGAGATGAAAGAAACCTTTGACAACAGGGAACAGAGGAGCAAAAAATAAGTAGAAGAATAAGAAGGCATGGACAGAATTAAAATAACTTAGTAAAGAATACTGAATAAAGCATGACATTTTTAATATTCTGAATGCTCTATTGATTTACTCTTTATCTTTAGGAATATGACAAAAGAGTTCTGTGTCAAGCAGAAAAAATATATCAATATGTTACAGACTAACTACTGTAGAAATTAAACTTTGATAATCAAATGACACACATTCAAAAGATGCTTCAACTAATTTGTTTTAGCAGTATGATTTTAGGACCTTATTAGCAGCCAAGAGTTTCTTAAGATCTCCAGTGTATGAAAATGGTTATCACTCCCAGCACTGTAAAAACTAAATGGTAAAAGCATTGGTAGCACAGTATTACTAAGCTTTTATTCAGCTTTTCTGGAGCTTTTCAAATATCCTGATCTAGGTGACTTAGACTAGTGAGAAATAATGGAATGGGAGCAAGTTAAAATGGGAATGAAGCGCCAAGTGTAAATGAAGAGGGAAGTGATAAACCCGCTCTTTTACTACTTGCATTCTTTGGATTCAGTTTCTTTTCTGTCTGTAGCCAGAACAGCAAGTGTTGTTCACCAATGTTTCACAGCTCTTACACCGTATATTTTCTCCCACACCTGCTACCCTGGCCTGCACAGGGCAAATGGCTGAGTGGGAAATCTTGTGTAACATGCTCCAGGTGATCCTGCCTTGGCTGGAGAAGGGGCAGAGAGAGGGATTGGACTAGATGATCTCCAGAAGTCCCTTCCAGCTGTGACTCACTGAAATGATTGAAGCTGAAAAGGAGGAAAGACTGCTCTACTCTGTGTGCGTTCCTCAGGGGCCTGCAGCGGCTACGGCTGAGGCACAGCCCATGGTGGCCGCTACAGAGCATTGCTCCTGCTTCCCCCTCAGAGGGCTTCCCACTCACATAATCAGGGAATGTTCTCAGTTGGAGAGGATCCACAGAGATCATTGAATCCAACTCTTAGCCCTGCACGGGACACCCCAAGAATCACACCCTGTGCCCAGAGCAGGGAGTTCTTGAGTTCTTTCAGGCTTGGTGCTGGTCCTGGGGAGCCTGTTCCAGTGCCCAGCCACCCTGTGGGTGAAGAACCTGCTATCCAGCCTAAACCTCCCCTGACACAGCTCCAGGCCATCCCCTTGGCCTTGTCGTTGGTCACTACAGAGCAGAGATCAGTGGCTGCCCCTGCTCTTCCCCTCACGAGGAAGTTGCGACTGCAGTGGGGTGTCACCCCGGCCTCCTTCAGGCTGAACAGGCCAAGTGACCTCAGCTCCTCCTCACACGACTTGTCCTCAAGGCTCTTCACCACCCTCATCTGAAAGCCGCTCCTTTGGATGCTCTCTAACAGCTAAATGCCTCTTTATATGTTGTGGAGCCCAACAATGGACACAGCAGTCACAGTGAGGCCACACAGACTAGGGTGGGATAATCCCCGCCCTGGACGGGCTGACGATGCTTTGTATCGTCCCCGGCCCGCTGCATCCCCTCCCGGGGGCCGGGCCCGCCCCCGCCCAGCCCACGGCGCCTCATGAGGGAGCCCCTCGGGGCTGCCGCGCCCTGCGGGGCCGGGGCGCCCCGGTGCTGCTGAGGGGGGACGTGGGCCGGCCCCGAGTCCCTCGGCAGGGCTGTGTAAATGTGTAAATTCATGAAAATTGTAAATTCGCCTCTGTCCGCTGCTTAGATGGCGCTCGCCGTGCATCGCTTCAGAGCAGAACACTGAGGGGTTCTAACTCCGGCTTGCGGCGTGTGAAGGCTCGCACTTCCCCGGGGAGCTGTGCCACAGGAGCCTTCTGACCTTCAGGCTAAGGGTTATTTTCACACGTAATTAATTTATTGCATATAAAATGATATGCAAGAGGCAATAGTTGGAAGCTGGAAAGCAGTAAGTTTAGATTAAATACTAAGAAGAAAACTTCAGTGAGGTGAGGGATGAGGCACTGGAACAGGTTGCCCAGAGAAGCAGTGGATACCCCATCCCTGGAAGTGTTCAAGGCCAGGCTGGATGAGGCTTTGAACAACCTGGTCCAGTGGGAGGTGTCCCTGCCTATGGCAGGGGATTGGAATGAGATGATGTTTAATGTCTCTTCCAAACCAATCCATTCTATGTTCAGTTCGGGCCCTAAGCAAGCACAGTGTTTTAATTTTGCAGCCATATGGCTTGCAGTCATTTAATACAGATACACAGTTCAGCAACTGTACTGTGTCCACTGTGCATCTGAGGTGTGGGGCTTTTAAAATTGTGCCCCTTTTGGTACTGGATTTCTTTTTTATGCAGAGAGGGAAACTGATTTTGTAGCCTTTGGGTTAGAACATACAGCTGTGATGAAACTGGGACGTCTTCTGTCTGAAGTAGGCATCAAATAGTAATGCTACAACCATTAAGCATTAGATGTTCTGGGCACTCAAGCAAATGTGTTTAAGCTGGCTATCCTAGAGATTTAGAATTTCCTTTTCACTTTTGGCAGCTCATATGGCTTCTGAGGGACATCTACCTGTGACTCAACTCCTCCCATGCATTGGACAGGGACCATGAGCCACTAATTCCCAGCTGACGATTTTGCTCAGGATCAGCATGCAGTGTGAACACCATCAAAGTACAGTTCAGGGACCCATCACTTGGGCTCAGCTTTTCCTGAAGTTTCTAATATGTTGAGGTAATACTATTGATACAGTATATGTTTGGGGTGAACTGTTTTGTAGGGAATGTTGAGATGCTGTTATTAAATATATATATATGTATATCTGGACTGGAAAAATAGGTCTCTAAAAAAACTTGAAGTCTGTCTGTAGATGGCAGCAGAGAGGAACGATATTTATTAGGACCTCTAAATATGGTGACTCTGCATTTTAGAATTTGTGCAACTGCAGCTGGTGGCTCTCCATTAGTGCTGAAATTTTTGCACTTTACTGATGAATGTAATTACTTTGATTTAAGGATCTTTTGGCATGACTGTTTATTGAAGGAAGAGCTGGACCTTTTCTGAGCAGAGGGTGGCTGCAGACAGGGCAGCGCTGCATTTGATCAGTGCTATGTATGTAATAAAAAGATCCTCAGCTGATGTAAGGATGTCATTGCTCCACTTGAGAATTTGCTCCAGAAAGCCTTTGCCTGGGGGATGTTGCTAGGAGGCTTGTGAAGAAATGTAGGATGTGAGGGAATATAAAAATCACTTGGGAGAAAGGAGATTAAAATGATAAATGAAGTAACTCTTAGGTTCCTCACCTAAGGAAGGGATGCAAAAATAGCATTGTTTTTATCGTGCAGTTTCTCAGTAACTGTTGGTGTTGTATTAGGTCATTAATGAGAGGATTTTAATATAATGGCCATGTAGAGAGGCCTGGTTTATGCAAGAGAATAGTGTGTGAGGTGAGAGGTGAGAACATAAAAGAGCCACTGATATGTGGGTCAAATAGAAATTGTATTTCAGAGATCCTTTCATGAGCTGTGGTAGGGTAACACAATTTGTCAGAAAGATGGCTAATTCTAACAGCACTTGATAAATTTTGAAACAAACAGATCAAGTACTATACTTAATTTAGTGTGCATTAGAAAAACTTCTAGGTTTGAGCTTTTTGTTCCCATTTGTAATTTTACTTTCAGAAGTTGGTGTATAGTCTGATAAGAGTTACTTTGTATAAAAAAGTAGGAGTAAAACATGTACATCAAAATGTCTGTAGCATGTTTTCCATGGGAAACTTTTAAGATGACTGTGATCAAAGGAATGAGTGTTGAAAGTTGAAGTTAAACAATTAGATGTTCTTTTCTGCTCCAAATATCCTGTCCAACAGTTTCACAGAAGTAGTCAAAATAACCTAAAAATAATATTTTTATTTTTAGTGTTGTTTATATGGCACCAGAAGATAGGGTGGGCAGGTGTGTTATGATGACAGCCCATCTACTTTTTTCTTCAAATCAGTATCATTTCCTCTATGCTTTGCCGCATTTATGCCTGGTGGAATCATGTACAAAGTTGCAAGCTAAAATCGGATGGAAGAATGTTTCCATTGTAGTTAAGAACACAAGTGTACTTTTGTTTCTTACACCTGTGCTTTGTGTGATGTGTCCAGCAGCTTGTATCTCAGTAAAGCTTTCATGTAAATTATATGTAAAAAATCAGACAATTAATATAATGTTTTTATTATTGCTGCAACATTATGGCTCCAGGTTTGGGTTTTTTTTGGTATTGTCGCCAATTAGCTTTTTAGTCTGATTTCAAATTTTTCAGGGAATTGGGCTTTTCCTGGGAAGTATTTCACTCTACTGTTCCAGTAGAGCTCACTGCTTAAAGGCACTTTTGCCTTTTCCTTTCTTGTAATGACATTTCCTTTAGCTATAGCTTTTTTTTTCTATTCTGACAACGTCTTATAATTTCTGCTTAGATTTGCCATGTGTTTGGAGATAATTAAGTGCTACAACTGTCACTAGTTAACAAAGTTTTATTCCAGCTTAGGTAAAATACTTTCCTTGCATTGATCTTCTTTGAATTCCTTCAGCTGTTTTGAGGTAGAGCTGAAGTCTTTGTTCAAGGTGGAGCTGAGCTGCCAGCACTGTGGCAGTGCTTGTCTTTAGAATCCTTTTCATCTTACTCAGTTACTTGCTTATGCAGAACACTCTGGTGTGAAGGTAAATCAGAGAGCAAACTCTATTACAAATATCTCTATTTTGGATTCCTTGGGTGGCATGAAATAATGCTGCAGCAGTAGGTGGAATTTTCAAGTTTGAATTGAGAGGTGGGATAAATTAAATCTGCTAAATTGGATCAGTTTGTCCATCGAGGTTAGCATTCTACAAAGAGAGGTACTTTGTAGGATTAAGAGCCTCAACTATTCTGTCACTGCTGTAACTCTGCCTTCTCTGAGCATTGCTTCAATTAGTTTATCCCATTCTTCCAAAGTGCTTTTTTAAAATTGCATCAGATGCAAGTTTTGGAAATTGTGAACTGAAAGTTTTCTCTTCAGAACCCTTTGTGTTTTTTACTTATCCTATCTGCTCTGTTTTATCATTAATGAGATACTGACTTCAGATTTTGCTTGGCCCATGTTACTGGACTCCAACACACTTTAATTGTGAAAGCACATTTGTGGATTTTTAATTAATTCTCATCGCTTGCACACTGAGATGGGTAGCAACATAAATATGCCAAAAGAACTGTTCTTTGATCTGTCCTGAAGACTCTTCTACATTGTCACATCTGCAAAAGTTGATGAGAATGCAGGCTGTCAATATATTTCTACCACTGTGATGGTTTATTGGCATTAAGTCTGCACTTTGTACTGCCCAGTTTGCATCTGCCTGTTCTCTGTAGCAAGATATCAGATCTTTGGGAAAGCTGCAGACCAGCTTCTGAGTAGAGTGTCATGGAAAGATCATCCCTGGATTAGGGTTCTTAGCTGCTCTGGAGTTTTACACTAAGTATATTATTAGATATTTTACATAGTAATATAACATTGTAAGTGTTCTATACAATATACTTTTCCTCTTTTTTTTCTGAGAATAATAGATAATCTTTATTTAGTGTACCATGGAAAGAACAATGTTTTGTTTTTATCTCTCTGTGCTTACTTTTCTCAGAGCTGGCATCCTTTATAGAGAATTTTTAGGGTCTTAGGGCATTTTAAGGAGTTTTAGGGTATTTTTAGTACTTTTTAAGGACTATTTAGGGTATTTTTAGGACTTTTTATGTTGTTTTTTTTAAATTTTTTGGGATGTTTTAAGGGCTTTTTACAACTAGGGTATTTTTACTGTGTTTTAAGGGTTTTTTAGGGTTTTTAGGACATTTTGAAGGCTAGGCCTTTTAAGGGAATTTCTAGGGTTTTTTAGGGTATTTTTAGAGCTTTTTTAGGACTATTATGGTATTTTTAGGATTTTTAAGAGTGTTTTTATTATTTTTAGGGGTATTTTAAGGGTTGTTTTATAACTAGGTTATTTTTAGTGTATTTTAAAGATTTTGTACAATTTTTAGGGCATAGGGTTCCACATATCATGTGGAAAATGATCGTGTTAGATGATTTTATTCCTCTCGAATAACTTTCTTGTTATTAAGATCACTTTTATGGAAACAGAATTCAGACATGTATGATTAATTTCTTCTGTTTGTTTTCCTGTCTGAGATTTTTTCAAATAACTTTAGCATCTTTAAAATGGCAAACATTACACTGAGAATTATGAGTTTAAGGACATAGACACTAAGACCAAATAAACTAAACCCTGATTTTGCATGAAGATTTAGGCCTTTAATAAGAAACATGAAAGGACATGGTTCTGTCTGTATAGGTGTGTGTATGCATATACATGCAGAAAATAGAGTAATGAATTTCTACCTAAGTTGTTATTTAACTAATAACACTTATTGAATTACTCAGTGCTTTTCTGTCCTGTTGATTTCTCCTAGAAGACTTGGGGTTTTTTTGTGTGTTTCTGAGCCAGGACTGAAAGCTTTAAACAAAAGAAATCTTGAACTTTGGCTGTGTATAAATACT